CAACAACAACAACAACAAAAAAAAAAAATAACTTCGAAGAGCGATCTACTCCAAGTTTTGAAGCAAGAGTGGGCGAAAATCCCACAATCTAAAATTGACGAGATTATTCTCACGATGCCCCAATGGATCAACGAACTCCACGAAGCGAAAGGAAGATCTACTAGACATTAATTAAATTATGAATATATCAATTCATGTGAATATGACTGAAAAATTTCATTTTTTCTGAAAAGGTGGTGTCTATTTACTTATGACTACGCTGTGTATATTCTTTGGTGACGTTTTACTGTGATCTGTTTGCCTCACGGTGCTGAGTTAATTCAGTGACACGTAGCAAATAAGCTTAGTTTTATTATCCTTGAATTTCATTCGTGGTTAAAGTTTAACTTTCAGATCATTGTATATAGTATTTCTTTTATTTCACTTTAATTCTCTTGATGTTAGACTAACTCCACAACTAGAACGTATTAGATAGAAATATGTTAATTATTTCATAGTAAAAAATGAACCATATTTTCAGGAAGAGCGGATGGAGTGACGGTCACAAATACAGTGTCAGGGCTTATGGGAATAAGAGGAGATAGTAGTGCCTGGCCAGCAGTGGGAATAGAGAAGTATTCTACATATGGAGGAGTTTCTGGAAACGCTATCCGCCCCATCGCACTTCGTGCCGTGTCAGCTATCGCCAAGGCTTTACCAGGGTTCCCAATCTTAGCGACAGGAGGAATAGACTCTGCAGAGGCAGGCCTTCAGTTCTTGTATAGTGGGGCTACAGTATTACAAGTGAGTGGTTCAGCTCTTATATAGAGGGGCTACAGTATTAAGTGTGGCTCAGTTCCTGTGTAGTGGGTATACAGTATTACAAACGAGATATTCAGTTCCTCTATAGCGTGGCAACAGTATACCAATTGAGTGTCTCGGTTCTTATATAGTGGGTATACAGTATTAAAAGTGAGTGGTTTACTTTATGTATAGTGGAAATACGGTTGTACAAGTGAATGGCTTAGTACCTGTATAGTGGGTATACAATATTACAAGTGAGTGGTTCAGTTCCTGTATAGTGGCGGGTACAGTATTGCAGAATTACAAATGTGTAGTTCAGTTCCTGTATAGTGGCGGGTACAGTATTGCAGAATTACAAATGTGTGGTTCAGTTCCTGTATAGTGTGTATACAGTATTACAACTGAATTGCCTAGTTTATATATATTGTGGGTATATAGTATTACAAGTGAGTGGTTCAGTGAGGCTAAATTATAAAACGTGAGTGGTTCAGTCCATGTAGTGTGTATACAGTATTAAAAAGGCGTAGTTAAGTTCTTGTGAAGTGGAGCTACAGTATTAAAACTTAGTTGCTGAATTTCTGTACAGTGAGTATATAGCGTTACAAGTGAGTGGTCCAATATCTGTATAGTGGGGCAGCAGTATTACGATTGAATTGTTCAGTTCCCTTTTAGTGGGGGATACATTATCCGAAGTGAATCGTTCAGTTCTTTTATAGTGGGGTTGCACTACTACAAGTGAGAGGTTCAGTTAATTCATAGTTGGGCTACAGTATTACAAGTGGTTCAGTTGGCGTATAGTATGAATACAGTACTAAAACATATTTGTTCAGTTCTTATATCGTGGGGCTACAGTATTATAAGTGAGTGGTTCAATTTTTGTGCAATAAGGCTATAGTATTACAAGTTCGTGGTCCAGTTCATATATGGTGGAGCTACAGTATTACAAGTAAATGGTTCAGTTCCAGTGTAGTAGGGTTACAGTATTAAAAGTAGAATATTTAGTTTCTGTATACTGAAGCTAAAGCGTGGTTCAGATCCTGTATAGTGGGTATATAGTATTACAATAGAGTGTTTTAGTTCCTGTATAGTTGGGCTACAGTTTGAAAAAAATGTGTGGTTCATTTCCTGTATAGTGTGTATTATAAGTAAATGGTTCAGTTCTTTCATAGTGGGGCTACAATATTAAGAGTGGTTCTGTTTCTGTACAGTTGGTGTACAGAATTACAAGTAAGTGGTTAAGCTCATGTATAGTGGGGTTGCAGTACTACAAGTGAGAGGTTCAGTTACTGTATCGTGTGGCTTCAGTATTACAAGTTGGTGGTTCAGTTCCTTTATAGTGGGCTACGGTATTAGAATCCAGTGGATCAAATCCTGTACAGTGGGTATATGGTATTACAAATGAGTGGATCGGTTTTTCTATAATATGGTTATATTAGTCTTTCAGTCCTTCTATAGTGGGACTATAGTATTACGAGTGGTTCAGCTCCTGTATAGTGGGGGCTACAGTATCACAAATGAGTGAATCAGATCTTCTATAGTGGGTATACATTATTACAAATGAGTTGCTCAATTTCTGTCTAATAGGGCTACGGTATTACAAATGAACGGTCCATTTCCAGTATAGTAGGGCCACAGTATTGGAAATGAGTGAATCAGTTCCTGTATGATGGATATACAATTTTAAAAGTTAGTGGTACAGTTTCTTTATATTGGGGCTACAGTATTAAAAGTGAGTGTCTCGGTTTATGTTTAATGGGGCTACAGTATTACAAGTTAGTGTTTCAGTTCTCGTGTTGTAGGGCTACAGTAAGAGGTTCAGTTCTTGTATAGTGAAGTTAGAATTTTACAGGTGAGTGGTTCAGATTCTGTATAGCGTGTATACAATATTACATGAGTGGTGTAGTTCCCGTATAGTCAGGCTACAGCACTACAAGTGATTGGTTTAGTTTCTGATTAGTGGAGCTCAAGTATCACAACTGAGTGCTGTAGTTCATGTATAGTGTGTATATATATAGTATTAGAACTGATTGGTTCAGTTCCTGTATTGTGGGGCTACAGTATTAAAAGTAAGTGGTTCAGTTCCTGTGTAGTGGGGCTATGGAATTAGAAGTGAATGTTTCAGTTTCTGTATAGTGGGTATATAGTATTACAATAGTGTTCCAGTTTCTGTATAGTGGGTATATAGTATTACAATAGTGTTCCAGTTTCTGTATAGTGGGTATATAGTATTACAATAGTGTTCCAGTTTCTGTATAGTGGGTATATAGTATTACAATAGTGTTGATGACAAAACCTTCTCGAAACGTTGTACATTTGCTGTTATGTTAAAGTTATATTAAAGTTTTTCTTCATTACTCCTTCAAGCCATCTCCAAGCATTATTAGTCTCAAAGTGGGCTCCTCGACATTGAAAGGGCGTGGTGTGGTTCCTGTATAGTGAAGCTACAGTCTTACAAATGAGTGGTTAAGTTCCTATATAGTTGGGCTGTATTATTTCAAGTGAGTGGTTATACAGTATGAAAACTGAGTGGTTCAGTTCATGTATAGTGAGGCTACAGTATTATAATGAGTGTATCAGTTCTTGTGTAATGGGGCTACAGTATTACGAGTTAGTTGTTCCTTTCCTGTATAGTGTTGTTACAGTATTAGAAGTGAGTGGTTTAGGTTCTTTATAGTGGGGCTACATTATTAGGAATGTTTCTGTATAGTGGATATACAGTAGTACAAGAGAATGAAATAGTTTCTGTATAGTGACGCTACAATCTTACAAATGTGTAATCCAGTTCCTGTATACTAGGGCTACAGAATTACAAACGAGTGGTCCAGTTTCTGTATAGTGTACTTACAGTATGACAACTGAGTGGTTCAGTTCCTCTATTGTTAGGCTATAGTGTTAAAAGTGTATCAGTTCAAGTGTGTGGTTCCGTTCCTTTATAGTGGGGATACATTATTAGGAGTGTTTCAGTTCTTATATCGTGGGCCTAAAGTATTATAAGTCGGTGGCTTACTTGTTGTGTAATGGTGCTACAGTATTAGAAATTAGTGGTTCAGTTCCATTGTAGTGGGGTTACATTACTAGGTGTGTTTCAGTTCCTGTATACTAGTGCTACAGAATTCCAAGTGATTGGTTCACTTTATGTATAGTGTGGATATAGTATTACGGGTGGTTCACTTCCTGTACAGTGGAGCTTCAGTACTACAAATGAGTAATTCGTTTCCTGTATAGTATTTATAGATTATTACAAGTGAATGGATTATTTCCTGTATAACAAGGCTACTGTATTACAAGTGAACAGTTTATTTCCTGTATATAGTGGGGCTGCAGTATTACAAGTGAGTGATTCAGTTCCTGTATATTGGGGTTTAAGTATTATAAGTCAGTGGTTCATTTCTTGTGTTATGGGGCTACAATATTACAAGTTAGTGGTTCAGTTCCTGTATAGTGAGGCTACAGTATTACAAGAGATTGGCTTTGTTCCTGTATCGTTGAGCTACAAGTGAGTCGAAATTCTGCACTGCTGAATTATTTCTTCCTAAGTCTCATTTTCACGACTTTGTGAAAACATTAAAATCAAAATCCGAACTTTTAGAATTTTTATAAAACTTTATAAATGTGATTGTTACACTTATTTTAGTACTACACGTGAGATCTCTCGTTTGATACAATCGATATAGTATGACAGTTGACAACATGTCACTTTTGTATTGTTAATACTACTGCAGATTACCAAGAGGGTTCATGATTGTAACCCTACATAAAAGTGGAGGAACTCAGTTTTTATGATCGTTTTATAGCAGTAAATTATTTTGTTTTTGTTCACGCCCCAAGAAAATACATTAACATGAATAAAGATCCTAGAACATTAAAAAAAATACATTGTGTTGCTATTTAGAGTATATCAGTTAAAACAAAAAGTGCATATGAAAATACTATAAAAGAAGCGATAAAAGTATTACATCATATTGGAGTATTACAAGTGATTCAACAGTTTATTATGAATGGTTAGACATTAGACATATATAATATTTGTGTTTATTAACTCTGTGTATAACTGTCACTCAAAGCTAACTGATGTATGGTTAGACATTAGACATATATAATATTTGTGTTTATTAACTCTGTGTATAACTGTCACTCAAAGCTAACTGATGTATGGTTAAACATTAGACATATATAATATTTGTGTTTATTAACCCTGTGTTTAACTGTCACTCAAAGCTAACTGATGTATGGTTAGACATTAGATATATATAATATTTGTGTTTATTAACCCTGTGTATAACTGTCACTCAAAGCTAACTGATGTATGGTAACATCTGGTATTTTTAATAATTGAGAATTTGTGTGACATGCTCAGCTTACAGTTATAATTGTGTAAGCAGTATTTAATATTTTTCAACAATGAATTGTGTGTTATATTTATATAGAGATCATATTTGGGTAAGCCAGGTAAACATTTCACGTTTAAATAATCGTTGTTTTTTTGGGGGGGGGGGGTTGAGATAGAAGCTCACCAGGAATTCCTACATTGGATTTGATTTATTGGTCGAACCCCTCCCATACTCACCCTAGCTAATCTATCTTTTTTTGTTTTTATTCTTAAGGTGTGTAGTGCTGTTCAGAACCAAGACTTCACCGTCATCAACGACTACGTAACAGGTCTGAAGGCGATTCTGTACTTAAAAAGTCTAGAAGCAACAAAAGATTGGAACTTTCAGTCACCACCAACACCACGCCATCAGAAGGGAAAACTTGTACCCGTTCTGCCAGACATTACGTTCAAGGTTAAAAATTGCATAGCTCGATATAATTGATATTGTATACTACAGCTAAAATATAAAACACAGATCTTCAGGAGAATATGGATTAAAATCTAACTTTTTGGTATTTTCAAATCCTCATTGTCCTATAAACGCAATAACTAATTAACAGTACTTCAAAGCAGCTAGATACTGTTCCACAGAAACAAAATTTTAATAACAAATGTTCATCAAACATCTTTGAGCGACATTTGCATCCTTGTTTAAATATAGAGAAATTTCCTTCAGCTGTTAACGCTTTGTTAGGGAAACAATGCATAAGAACATCGAGGCACTCTAAAAAAGATTGTGGTTTAACATCGTTTTGGCCTTAAGTACTGATACATGAGCTACACCTAAAATGTGTGAACTCAAACCGTTCATCATAATAAATGACGTTACCCTCACGATATGCCAATAAAACCTTATAGCTAAAATAAAAATATCTTAGTGAAAGTAATATTCTTAACAGTTGTTTTTCGTATTTGACTTTCACATACTTATTTCATTATTTTCCAATCTATTTATGAATTCACATCTTTACACACATAACAAGAGTGAAATGGTCTGAATTTACACCTTTCAAGATATGAACTCTCGCCTCGTTAACAACAATGGGTGTATTTGTTGGGATCACACCTTTTTTTAGGATGTATAATTCTTTGGATCGGCGGCTAGGGTGATTTGTTATGATTTTTATACCTTTTTTGTAACTTCCATTTGTTTTTATTGGTTATGTTTTTCCATACATGTGTTACTCTACTGTGTAGTACATATTATTTGATCTCATTACTTACGTTCAAGTTTTTTACAGAGTTTTGTTTGTATATTAGCAGTTAATCATTTTATTCTATTTAAGTAAAGAATGGAAATCCATCACACTTTGGCAACATTACTTTAGTAAAGGTTTACCATAAAGATACTTAGTGATTTAAACAATTATTGTTCCTAAAATGTGTTTATTGTCGGATATACAGAATATAATATGTATGGTTACAAGGTATCACCACAATCTTCCAAAATTTTCCATTGAAATAATTTCTAGTTTTAGAAATTAATTTGGCTGATTTCCAGTTGATTTTATGAAAAATATTGAATTTTTAGAAAAATAGCATTTATTGTTTGACCATTTGCATCAAATTTACATTTTCATCCCTGTATGTGTGTTTGTCAGCAAGGTTTTTCGAAAACGGTTGAATGGATTTGGACGAAAGTTGGTATTCATTTGGACTATGATTTAACTTAGAAGTGCTTAGATTTTGGAGAGTCAAGGTCACAAAACATGTTCTTAAAAAAAATCCCTATATGTTAACACGGGGACCGATTTTTCACACTATTTTCCCCCTACAACCCAGTCAAAAATGATCGGATTTTGATGAAACTTGGTGGACAGTTGTATAATATTCTTCCTAATTTTTCTGCTGAAAATTGTCCATGTGTCTTCATAACGGCGGAATACGGACATATTTTCGTATTTTTTGAGAGCCGAATATGATCAACGCTGCGTGGCGGAGGTATGCGCGATACTAAGTACCCCTCTAGTTTTTCTGTTTTACAGTCTTGTTAAGCTCAACCATTCAAATATCAACGTATCCTTTCGCTATTTTTTTTCGTATTATCAAGATCACTAGCTCACTCCATGTAGTTGTTGACCCCGATGATACCAGGTTATCCTGGTGAAACGTTGTTATCATAGGTTTGTTTGTTTGTAGTTAAGCACAAAGCTACACAAAGGGCTATCTGTGATCTGCCCACCACGGGTATCGAAACTCTGTTTCTAACGTTGTAATTCCGCAGACATACCGCTGTGCCACTGGGGGGCGTTACCATAGGTATTGTACTCTGTATATCCTACAATAAAGAAGTTTTATGTTTTACAAAATTGAGGAAAACAACACAATTGAACATTTCACAAATACATCATTTATTACGACCATGGTTTCGCCAGTAAAGGCATCATCAGGTACAGACTGAAATGTTTTGTAGCAGGTATATATATATATTTAAACAAAGAGCCGGAAGTGACCTTGACATTCAACTAGAGACAAGAAGGGAGTTAAGTTGGTTTGGTCATTTAGAACTTTTTTCTGGATTTGTTTCTAGACTTCCGTTTATTTCTAAAATTTCCAGACTGTCTAGTTTTTACCTTTCTCAGATATATGTAAGATGTTTTTTTCTGGATCAAATCGATGTGGTAGAATACAAAGATTGAATCGATTTTTCTTAATTTCAGCTACTAGAATGTTCTTTAATTCTCGTTTCTATGGAACATCTTGTTTGACCTATCGTTGCAGTCTTGACACGTTAATTGGTAAACACCACCGTTGCTGCAACTCTTAGATTCTGTCTTTGTCGTTGCCCAGCATTTTTCCCAGGTTGTTTTTACAGTACAAGACCGGTCTGTAGATTTCCTTGTTTAGTGTGTTAGGTTGTTTTTAGAGTACAAGGACGGTCTGTAGATTTCCTTGTTCAGTGTGTTAGATTGTTTTTACAGTATAAGGCCGGTCTGTAGATTTCCTAGTTCAGTGTGTTAGGTTGTTTTTACAGTACAAGGCCGGTATGTAGATTTCCTTGTTAGTGTGTTAGGTTGTTTTTACAGTACAAGACCGGTCTGTAGATTTCCTTGTTTAGTGTGTTAGGTTGTTTTTAGAGTACAAGGACGGTCTGTAGATTTCCTTGTTCAGTGTGTTAGATTGTTTTTACAGTATAAGGCCGGTCTGTAGATTTCCTAGTTCAGTGTGTTAGATTGTTTTTACAGTATAAGGCCGGTATGTAGATTTCCTTGTTAGTGTGTTAGGTTGTTTTTACAGTACAAGGCGGTCTGTAGATTTCCTTGTTCAGTGTATTAGATTGTTTTTACAGTACAAAGCCGGTCTGTAGATTTCCTTGTTATGAGCTAACAAACGGGAAACAAGTGTGTTGATTTATGTAAAATTTTTTGTTTAATTTTATACAATCTACATACACGTAATAAAAAGGTGAATTCATAACAAAACAATACATTTGAATATAAACACAATTTTGAACTGAAAACCTCAAGTCAGTTCTGTTGTTAGAAAACACAATGCTCGTGTGTTTATATCGCTACAACAATCAATTGTGTATAGTTGACACAAATATTGTGTTGTTGTGGAATAAAGAAATCATTGTTTTACCCTAGAACTCGTCTTTTTTACATTGTATTTCTCCTATGGCAACAACTTCATTTTTGGTAAATTATCTCTACAGCAAATACCTTATTTTGGGCACTACCTGAAACACAGAGAGGGTGTATTAGCAGAATACAAAAGAAGAAACGACCTACTTGATGACAGACTCAAACCCTCACTTAATAGACCAGCTAACCAACCTGCAAAGCCAATACTACAAATAAAAGTAAGTATAAAGCAAACATCAAACCGATTTTATCAAAATGGTGCTACTTATTTAATAGTTTGTTATTCATAAAGCATTGTTTAGCTTTGTATTTACCTCCACCTTTAAAGATATTTGTAACAACACTGTTATCAATAAAGCATTATTTAGCTTTGTACTTACATTCTCCTCTATAGGTATTGGTAAAAACTGTTATTAATAAATCATTGGTTAGCTTGTAGTTACAGCAACCTCTAAAGGTGTTTGTAAAAACTGTTATTCATAAAGCATTGTTTAGCTTTGTAGTTACATTCTCCTCTATAGGTATTGGTAAAAACTGTTATTTATAAAGCATTGGTTAGCTTGTAGTTACAGTAACCTCTAAAGGTGTTGATAAAAACTGTTATTTATAAAGCATTGGTTAGCTTGTAATTACAGCAATCTCTAAAGGTGTTTGTAAAAACTGTTATTCATAAAGCATTGTTTAGCTTTGTAGTTACATTCTCCTCTATAGGTATTGGTAAAAACTGTTATTTATAAAGCATTGGTTAGCTTGTAATTACAGCAACCTCTAAAGGTGTTGGTAAAAACTGTTATTAATAAAGTATTGGTTAGCTTGTAGTTACAGCGATCTCTAAAGGTGTTGGTAAAAACTGTTATTAATAAAGCATTGGTTAGCTTGTAGTTACAGCGATCTCTAAAGGTGTTGGTAAAAACTGTTATTTATAAAGCATTGGTTAGCTTATAGTTACAGCAACCTCTAAAGGTGTTGGTAAAAACAAGTAGAAGAAGCTTCCTCCATTGGTAATATTGATAGAAATCAGTTTGCAGAATTGGTGGTTGCAGACATTGTTACTAAAAGGATTATAGTATCATATCAAAGTAATTAAAAAGTAAACAGTCCAGAAAACTCGTCTTTAATTTAAATATATGTATATATATAATTATTTAAATATAATGACCATCATTTAATGAAATTTTCAGCCATGTTTATAATTAAGTATCGGTTTCTTTGTTTCTTTTGATGTAAATTATAAAAAATTTTGTTTTCCAGGACATCATTGGAACTGCTCTCCCTCGAATTGGAACCTTTAGTGACCTCGATACCAACAAGCAGGTGGTGGCTCTTGTTGACGAGGTAAAAAAAGTGTTTATGAATCTCACAAGGAAAGGTGATAGGGAAATATAAATAAGGCGGCTGATATTCTTACTCTTCCATTATTATTATTGGCATCCCACCTAATGTTGATATATTGTTTTCCTCAATGTTTCCACTCAGTAACCAACAAAATGCCTAATCAAAATGTACAACAACTGCGGGACGACCGGCAAGTAGTAACCCTAATTACTATGTACGACAACTGCGGGACGACCGACAAGTAGTAACCCTAATTACTATGTACGACAACTGCGGGATGACCGGCAAGTAGTAACCCTAATTACTATGTACGACAATGCGGGACGACCGACAAGTAGCAACCCTAATTACTATGTAAATATACTTTTTTTCATACAATTTTAGCATAAATCCAGATTTAATACACAATGTGAACAAATATTTCGTCTAAGGAAAAAAAGGGTTTCACAAAAAACTATGTTAGTAATGTTACTATAATATATATATATATATATATATATATATAT